TTAGAAGTTATGAAGGTGCAGGAATGAAATTCTTAAAACAATATATGCACAAACCTTGAAAATGCATATCAATAAAGCTTTCCAACAGAAATTGGCTGAACATCTCTTAGCACTTACATTATTGTCAGATTTACAAGGTTCTTATTCCATTTTTATCTGACATACAAAAGGAGAGAGAACAGAAAAAAATCAATTGTGATGTTAATGGGTATAACTCTTAACTCATTAGTGTTACACCTACTTACAACTGGGATGAATTTGTTCCTCTGAGATTTAGTAAGCCAGCTTTTCTAAAATCATCTACATTAGCTTCCATCTACCCACCTTTCAAAAGATTCCATTTTTATTCACATTAAATGATACTTGCAAGGCTAAAATGAACCATTTTTACAGTACTTAAAAACAGAGATTGCACATTCTTTTTGAAAAGGGCACCAAACAAACGTTAGTATTTAATGAACATCTAATGCTTCAGGTTTTTTGGAAGGTTTTCATAAAAGATACTTAGAAAGATTCAGAATGTGCTGCCACCAAGACCACACAAAAATAAATGATGGGTCAGACATCAAGGCTGAATTAATTATGAGAGTCCCATAAGGACCCATCTGTGCTGCAGCTGAAAGGAGAAACCAAACAGAATGAGGAGAGAAAAAAACATAAAGAAAAAGTGGACAGGGCAACAATCATTTGTTGAAAATGGTCAAAATAGCTATTAGAGCTAGAAATACACATGCAGACACATCTGAGTTTTCAATAATATAACTTTGATGACTGCCACTGGGGACACCAGCATAGTGGGAAATGGCTGTTGGGAATCTGCCATCCAGACTGAAAGGGTAAGCCATCTGCATTCATTTACAGCTAACTGAAGGCTACTCTCAGCAAAGTGCATGGTTACACAGCTGAGGACCCTCTTCTGCTGAGAACATGGGCCTCTGTGACACTGCTGAACAACCTCAGCTGGGATCCTGGTAAATGTGCTTGGGTTCACCTCTATGGTTAAACTTTTCTTAGGATGACTTTTAGATCCTGCAGTACACCATAAAACTTGAATGGATAGTCTGCTTTGCAAAGATAATTTTGGAATGAAAAATCATTGTTTTCTTTAAGAAATGCATTTGCTTTTGGATTTTGTTTTATTTTCACCTCTGCTTGAACTCTTTTTAATCCCCTTGCAAGAATTATTTTCCCTGGGGAGTCTTCTGGACCGATTCTGCAGGGCATCGAACCCATCGGCTCTGCCCATTCTCCTCCTCCCTCTTTCTCCCAGACCTCCTTTCTACTTTTTTCTTTCCTTTTTGACTGTGAAGAACAGGAGAAGATCCTCATTACCCTGCTTCGCTGCTCTGTAAAAAGAATTTTAAAGCTCCTAATATTACTTAATCACAGCTTTCAGTGCTCCTGCTGCCATAAAACATTATAACAATGGGTTGGCACTTCATCAATTGTAATTTGCTGATATTACAGTCACAGTAGCGTCCAACATAATTGCCATGCTCTACCACTGATTCATAAGGCTTCTTGATCTTGGTCAATCTTTTTCTTTGCTCTGGGGATTGCAGGCAGAAATTTTGCTCTAATAGCTTAGAGTTTTGAATTTCCCAGTTCCTGCCCATCCGAGCAGGATGCCTCCCTCCAAATACTCAGCACACCATTGCCCTCAAATTTCACTCCAAGTTACTTAAATCTATTAGGACACACTTTATTCTTCATTGTTCTCAATTTTGCACATAGCAGCAGAACACAACTTTGAAAGAGAGATAATAAAAGTTATTAAGAATGAAGGAGCTAGCTTGAAGACAGTAAAATAAAAGAAATTTTGTCAGGGCTTTGAATTCCTTAGAGGTCCAAAACTCCACAGAGCAAGAATATGACGTCAAACCATACAGATTATTAACAAGATGTTTATTTCAGGACAGAAGGCACATTGAGGATTAATTTCATTATATTGTGAGGTTTTTTCTGTAGACAAATGAAAATGTAAGTTATCAGCCCAACTGACTTCTACTGAGGATGAAGGACAGCAACAAAGTAAGAAGAAACAATAGCCCCAACTCTCCCTGACAGAACATATTGTTTGTGACTCATGCTGTAAAAGTAATCATTGAGAGCTGTGAATATTTGTTCCTTATCCACTTGTAACTGCTCTGAAGATGGGACAGAGATGATACTACAGAGGCAGGAAAAAGCCTCTCTGAAGACATGTAAGCACCCTTGTTAAACACTTGTAAGGAATAAAGAATAAGATCTATGCCACATTGCACTCATATGGCTGTACAGACAACCAAACATGATGCTGAGATAGAGACTTTCTAAAACACTGCAGGGGCAAGGTGTATTTTGACATCTGCTGGTTTTTTGTGCCTCTTTCTGCCACCAGGATCTGGCTCTAAAAGCTTCCTTTACAGAAGTGGTGATCCTGGTGAGGTATTTGCTAAGCATCCCTCCTCACCACCCATTGCAAAAACTTTGTAAGCCCCTGCAAAAGCCTTTTGGGCAAGCACCTGTGTGAAGGGTAAAGCAGCAAATTGCCAGGACAAAGTGTTGACACAAGAGGCCAAAACAAGAATTATATGCACTGTTTGTAGCCCTGGCATGCTAAACCCTGAGGTCCTCAGTGGCTGGCTTGTTTTCCAAAGCTCTGGCTTGCACAGCAAGGGTAAGAGCTCTTGTCTGGCCGTGGGAGCAAATGGGGACAGCAGAGCCTGCCAAGCTGGAATTCACTCTGTCCAGAGTGCAGGGCTTAGGATGCCATGTGAAATCCCACACACTTCAGCCAACCAACTGACACAAATGGAAGGCTACTGTGAGAATTAAACTTTGCTTATTCTACACATTTTGCCAAGATTTTGAAAACCACTTAATGGACTTAGACAGACTTGAGGAGTGTTTTTAGATTCAAGTACTACTTGTTTAATGGATTTACTTTATAAATATCAGCACAGAGATTTAAAAAACTTCTTTGGGACTTGACCTGCTAATTCCTTTTAATTTTTAATGCAAAGTAACATCTGAAGCTGGCAGCAGCAACATAATTGTATAACTTGAATACTTGCATAAGCTCATCTCATATTCAGAACAAGGCCTTCATCCACTATGTGGGTGAAATAGGTGTCCAATATTGTAGTCTGGAGGATCACTTCCCTTTGGTTTTACAAACCACTGCACAAATATTATGGCCATGGCACCCAAGCATCTCATTTGAATAGGGTTTTCAAATCTCCAGATTTCAAATTTATACAGATAAAATACATGTGTGTGTATGCACATGAATATACACATATACAATTGAACTTTACCTACTCTGTGTGTGTATCTGGTATGAATGTATATGCATGCAGACCTTGCCACACATGTTCTTGGCCCCTGGTGCTGGCCACCTGGCTGTCTGCATCTCTTTAGAATCTGCAAGCATCACTGTTCTGACCCTGCACAGCGCTACCTCCTGCTCCTCCATGGCCACCCAGGATGTGCTAGTGCTGGAGAACTTCAACAAGTCTTTAGCAAGACTTCTCTGCAGGCTGTTCTTCTGAGGTCATGAGCCCTTCAACCTTCAATAGCAGTAATTATGGAGAACAGATACCTAGGAGTGGGAGAAGGATCAGGATGCTGCACAGTGCATAGGCAGTGCCAGCCTACAGATGAAACTAGAGCTGGGGAAAGGTGCTGAGGTGCAGTGGTGGCTGGCTGTGCAGAGGTCCCCAGTTCACTCCTTCTGCAGCAAAACTCAGGACAGTAACACTGCACTTTCCAGGGACAAGAAAAAGAAGGGGAAAAGGATGAAATCTGGAAGAAACCCAGCTTTCTCATTTAATCACAACAAACTGAACATGTCTCACACATTCAGAATAGAAGAAAACTAGTCATTAACTTATGTGAGGCAGCTGGTTTCCCAATAACAGCTCCTACACATTCTGGTGTTAATATTATTGTTCTTGTCAACTGTGGGAATGCAATGTATATTAATGATGGTTTATTCCAAATTGGTCATTGTCGGAGTTAATAATTAGGTAGTCAGGCACTAATTATCTCTATTTTGTCTCCAATCACTAACTAAGAAAACTGGAGAAGTAATTTCAGAGGCAGGCACCAGAGCCACATACAGTAAAGCAGGCTCTGCTCTGGCCACAAGAGATTCTTCACTGCAGAGGCACCAGACAATGGCTGCAAGCAGAGTTGGGATGATGCTGCTCTGACTACTGAGTGCAGAGTGGCAACACCCCACATGTGGTGCCCATCTGCTCTTTGCACCCCTGGTTCACCCATGAGGGAGGAAAGTTCCTTGAAGACACTGCCTGGCACCTGGACAATGGAGCTGCACCAGCAGGGTCACCACTGCTGGCTGCAGCCCTGGTCCCAAGCAACATCTGCCTGGAAGGGCACAACCAGCAGCAGGGGCAGCAGTGGGAAGAGGTGGAACCACAGGTGTGCACAGAGGAAGTGAAGTCTCAGCATTTACTCTGAAATAAGAATCCTGTGGAAATTACAACAGGGAAGAGCTCGGGATAAAGATGGGTCTGGCACACATGGAATGAGAGCCCTTGGGCACATGGGTGGAGGTGCCTGAGCCCCTGCTGAGGCAGAGAACACCCTCAGCAGGTGTCCCCTGCTGAGACACAGACCCCTCAGAAGGTCTGTGCATTTAGATCACGGCTCTCCACCAGCCCAAAACTCACATCTCTCCTCAGGTGTGTGGAGGTATCCCAACTACAATCTTCCTCCCCTATTTCGCCTATGCACTTTGGAGATTACACCAAAGGGGAAGCCTTTAAAAGGATTTCATGTAACATATTGTGCTGACCACTTTAAATTTAATTTGGTGTACACCCATAGTACCTTAGCAGACTGCAACAAAAACAATTACCTTTTCAGTAATTCTGTTTTAGTTCATCCTTCTATCCTTCTCATATAATAATATTTGAGATTATCCTACCCTTGTAAGCACAAAGCCCCCACAAGATTTCAAGACCAGCATCCACCATGATGTGTTATAAACTTACCTCAACATAGAGGATAGGGAAAATGCCAATCTTATCACCCAGCATTCCTTCTGCCCAGTTGTCATCCACCCTCCTGATGACTGTCAAAATTTCATCCTAAAACCAGAGATACACAAAACACATAATCAAATATTTTCAGTAAAAGATGCCAATTTTTGGTTACCCAAATGATAGCTTAGAGAGTGAGTACACAGAAGAGGCCACAAGCCAGGTAAAAGTGTTTCCTGAATCCTGGGCTAGCAGCATCCCTGGCCCAGCATCTTTTCCCAGGCATCCCACTCAAAGTGCTCTGAAGCACCCTGCAGAGCAGTGCAGCTCATGCTGGCTGCCAGCAGCTCCAAGGGTCTGAGCACAGCAGGTGGGAACAGGTAACTCCTGGCTTCATTAGGGGAGAGAAGAATGTCTGACCCAAGAGGTCACCTACAAATCACAGGTGAAAACTCCTCAGCATGAAGTTGCCTCTGTGCATCCAAGGGTCTGTTGTGATGCTTGTCTGCTCTGGAACACAAATCAAAGGGAAGCACCAGTACAGCACAGGTAGTCCTAGAAACACTTCCAACAAGGAATAGTACAAGGTGCTCAGCAACAACCCTACACAGCTAGCACACTGAATGTCAGTTTTTCTTTAAAAAAATATTATAAGGTAAAACTGCAAAGCAAATAAAAAACCAAAGATAACATGTCAAAAAACCAAATTGCATTCACCTGTTGGATCAGCTTCAGTTTAAATACAAGTTCATTTCCTAAAACCAATGGTACTTTGATATTATGTTTAATCTAGGGGACTGTATAAGAATTTCAGGAGATGATGAACAAGTACAAACCAGATTCATATTGCTCAAATTTTCACTTGGTACAGTTCAAAACCCGAATGTACAAGTCATTAGGAAAGCTCAAGTGACTAGAACAAAACTCTGACTTTTTCCAGTTTGAACTACTCAGTTTGCCAATGGATTTCTGCTACCATCCCTTTCTTCTGGGGTCATCATACTAAACCCAGGCTTAAACAAGCACTGCTTTCTACAACAGCTGTGGAAGGCAACCGTCTCAATGGGGCTCTGCCTGGATGCTCAGATCTCCTATGAAAAAAGGAAGGAGCGGGCTGAGAAAAGCTGGGAAGTCAGCTTTGTTCCCTCCTGGCATCCGATCTTTCTCTGCTCTTGCACAGGAATTTACTAAAAAGAAGAAAATTTCTTCCTCCAGAAAGCTGAGACAGAGTTCCCGGCCAATCTCACTTTATTTCCACTGCTCACTCTGTGAAAATGAGAGCTGTGTATGGTCTACCACGCTCCATGTAACAAGATCCTGATGTCAAATGGCCAGGCAAGGGCAGCGGGTTTTTTTGGAAATACTTCTCACATAGAAAAAACTCCCACAAATTCCTGATCCAGGATGTTCAGACCATGGATTTGCCTTGATAGAAAAATGACTAGAACAGAGATGTGATGTGATGTACTTAGTAGTTTTTGAACATGTGCATTTTGAATACATGCACTCTGAAATAGTTTAAATGTTTCCTTTGCATTATTCATCTGAATGATCCATTAGGGGAAAGCTCATAGAAACGGCTACAAACTGAGTCCTTCAGCTATTTATTACAGCTGGAAGGATGCAAAAAGAATTTGTGCATTTAATTTCCTGAAGAAACAGATAGCATTCCCTTCCAAAGCCCTGTCTGCACAGACCATTTTTGATCTGTTTAAAGAACTGACAGTAATACATCTCTGCAAAGCTTCCACACGCTCTTACAAAAGACCGATTAGCATAAATTTAGAATCTAGGTAAAGGGTGTAAACGAGGAAAAGAAACGACTGCATCACTTCAGGAACCTGCTATCAGTGTTCCTACTTTTTATATTTGCTCAGCTATTTCCCTAAAACAGTTTTTTAAAAACACAAAATGTGATGTAGTCTACACTACACACACATACATAATCTTATGTGTGTGCAAGTGCATACACAAGGGTATGAATAGAATCATAGATTGTTCAGGTTACAAAGGACCTCTAAGATCATTGAGTCCAACCATTAACCCAGCACTGCATATAAATGTATATATATATTTGCAACTATTTACACATGTAAGAAATTAAGAAAAAAAAATTAAACTGTAAAACCCCAGAAGCTGTTGACCAGATTTTGCTAGAGGCACTGTGCAATCCCATCTCTGGAGCAGGCTGTACAGACACCTGGCAGGAAAGGTTTATCCTGTGTTGACTTTGCTCAAGGATGGGGTGGTGAATGGCTGACCTTTGAAGATCCCTTTCAACTTTACCTTCCGTGGATGTATGAAATCTGGAATCATTTCCATACACTGAACTTCATTTGGCTCAGCCAAGTCTGACTGCTGAACATGGTCCTATATGAGAAATGCATCCTGAGATATGCTGGCATTCAAAATTAGTATCATTGTGGGAGGGCAAAGTGCAAATTCTTGAGAATTCCATTACATAATTAGTTTTAAGAAAGGTGTTGAAAATCTTCAGAATTACAGCACATCCCAAAAAATCTTTTGAATTTTTTTTATTACTAGAAAGTTTCTTTGAATTTGCAGCCAATGACATCATTCTCTACAGTGAGCTGGTGAAAGCTTCAGCATGAACTATTTTAGAACCTTATATTAGTTGGATGGCCGTGCTACTTATAAATTCCTAGAAAGGTTCCCAAAAGGATCATGAATAGCAAAACGCCACAGATCTCTTGGCACACCACTTCACTATTTCACATTGACTAAATTGATTTCCAGGCAGCATAAAGAAATCCAAGCCTCAAATCTCATTTCAAAAGCCAATGGTATCCACTGTAGTTTGGACAAAGGTATGTCGCATTCCTTTAATGCCTGTTGCTAGACCCTTTAATTATTTGCTCTCCCCTTCTTGCTTGAGTTTCTCTCTATTCATCAGGGCTGGATCAGCCTTGTGACAGGCATGAGGGACCTGCAGTTCCAGTTTATAATCATTATCAGAAAAGAAGTCAAAGATAAATCACTTAAAAAGCTATCTGATTGACAGAGAAATGAATCCTTTTGCTGAGAAAACAGCACAAAATTGTGTCCAATAACAGTCATGATTCACAGCCTGATTTTTATTCTAGTCATTAATGGCCATTAACGAAGCAATACAGAGCAGCTGTGCCTGCTATTCTGCAGAGATAACTACTCCATCTAGAGCACCGGGGAGATCGCAGCGATGGCACCACGCGCTGCTTGGTGAGTCCAGAGACAGTGCTTGCCAGCTGGCACCAGAATCCTGCCACCAGCTATTGCTGGGATGGTCCCTCTGTGAACAGCAAGTGCTGCTGGAACTGAGTGCTAAGGGGCTGCTCCACAGCCAGGAACAAGTATTGGATGTGATCGTTCTAAGATTGGCACGGCTCTTGTTAGACACCACTGTGGGCTGGGATCAAAAGTGTTGGAAAATGAGGGAAACAGTTGATGTTATTAACAATGTGCTGAGCAATGAAGCATGGTGAACAGTTGATACTGCCTTGACAGGTTTGAGACTCATCTACCAGCATTGCTCAGCCTTCTGATGGCCATGTGAAGATGCATGCAAAGGGTGGTTGAACACCAAAACAAATGTGTGGGCTGAAACTGGACTCAGTGTAAGTCTGGAGCAACTAATTCAGATTTGCACTGCTACACCTGAGAGCAGAATCCTCCTGCATGTGGTTTGTGCCAGCGTTCACAGCCCAGAGAAGGATAGATAGAGAGATAGCAGGATCCCATGTCCATACTGTGGTACCACATTAGGAGAGATTAGACAGCTGAGCCAGTAAGTATATCCCAATCAAGAGCATGCAATTAGGCCACAGCATGGTCCCAACCACACTAGAGAGCATCAGGAGTACAACTTCTGAAACTACTGTCATTAAATTGGTGCACAGCTGGCACAATGCTGGAACCAGTTGTTACATAGAAAAAAATAACTGCCTGGTTTGGCTAATCACTGCCAAAGACTGAGGGAAAACATATTAAACAGGAAATTTGGGTAAGTTCTATCATTTTACAGACAGCAAAGAGGAGAGAACAGAGGTGAGACCCTATGTCTGTACGTATGGCTTCTCTGGGAAGAGGACTTGAAAGAGCAGTCCAAATGGTGCAAAAGAATGTGGGAGCTTTGTTTTTTGCGCTGGATACTCAAGACAGAATTTTCTCTTCCCCTCCTGAATTTATTCTTACACATAAAAATTATTACATTTACATCTTTGGCCTTTTATTTGGAGAGTGTTGTATCCTCAGGAGATGAAAATAGGTAAATGGCAGAAGCACCCTGCAGCACTCCTCATGAGGATCTGTGTAAAGCAGACTTCATTTCCTTGCAATACACATCTGGAACAATGAAACATTTTCATTTTGAAAAATGTAACAAAACAAATTAGTAAGAGGAAACACCAAATATCCTCCCTTTGTTTTCTTTTACTGTACCAGTAGATATTCTGAGTGCATAGTAACAAGGGGGATGGGAAAAAGCAAAACCCAGCAAAAGAACAACAAAACAAAATGATACAGAATATCCCCATGTTTGAGTTTACTTCTTGTAACTTCTCTTTAGAGGACAACTCTTCTTTATTTTATGTTTATAAGTAAAATCCAATCACAAGTGTCTGGTAGCCTGAAATGAGTTGCAGTACACAAATAGGTTATATTAGTTTGTGTAAGTGTTATGCCAATGTAACCCCTCTGCCAGAGGAAGGAACAAATAGTGTAAATGAAACTGGTCCAGCATCTTCAGATGCAAACTGAGACGTTCAATGATGCATATTGCTCAAAGTGACAAATCCCATCTCCAGCCCTGCAGTGCTCAGGACTCTGTGTAGAGGAACTGACTGCATCAGCAGATGATCTATAATCTGGGCTAAACAGGAACCTTCATCAGCACAGGTGACAGCTAAAATTAGCATTGAGACAACTGATGAAAACATGATGGTGAAGTCCCAAGATGAAAAATAGATTATTCACTGTCAGGGAGAACAATAGGCAGGACATAAAAACTGTTACAAGGTGACAGTGTGTGTAGTGGAAGGAGCTGAAGAAGAAAATAGCAGTAGAAGAGAAACCAAACCCCCTTGGGGAAAACACAGTCATCAGGGATAAAAGGATGCCGACAGTAACACGAGGGGTGAAAACCAGGAAAATTGAGAGATTGAGAGTAGAGCTCTACAGCAGGAAGAAATGCTCCATGTGAGAATGACATTGGACAGCCAAGAAAATGAGAACTATCACTATAAAAAGGCAGTTATTGTAAAGGAGGTTTTCTAATATATGGCACCAAATATATCAAATAGAAAAGTGTCTAGGAAAGGACCTGCTGTAACAAAAAAGACCACAACTGCCTGGCTTACCTATTAAATTTCTTAAGACTGAGCAAGCAAGGAATACTTTAAGCAGAGAAGGAAGACTGCAGCTCAGAGAAGTCACCAGTGTACCTCTGGGCAGGCAGCGAGAAAAACAATACACCAGAAAATATATATTTACTGATAAGGTCTCAGAGGTAACTTCTGGCTAACTTCTGTTAGTGCAGGGCTGTTACTCCTCACTAAGCAGCCCACTTTCTCACAGAGATTCATGGCTCCAGGGAGGCTGGCTAGTCGCAGGGTTTCCAGTGTTTGCAATCAAATACTTCACTTGCTATGGAACAAAAGTGCTTACAAATCCTTTGTTAAATAAATATGAGAAAGTATACAGTCTAGGAAATTGCATTCTGCTGAGAAACACTGCATGAGTGAAAAAGATGTTACATTCGGTGAGAAAATTACATGCTGCAAATAATTCATTCAGCTATAATAAGTAGCTTCAAAAGAGGAGGTCAGTAAAATCCTGGTGAAGGATATTTTTATCGTCTATTTCATATGCATTTTCAGCATAACTGTTATTACTTTATGTGATACTATAACAGCCACAGACAGCTGAAATAAAGCAGAAAATGACAATGAACAGGTTCTCCATGGCATTCACTGCCATAAATTAACAATAGGGGATAGGCTTTATTTTACTATGGGTTTCTTGATATCCATGAAACCCATCTAAGGTCAACACAAATTGCTAGGGAGGGGAGTGGGAGGCGAAAAGCAGGTGTGGAGGTGGGGGTGAAAGGGAAAACATGACATTTTAAATCTAAAGGAAATTACAATATCTCCGTTTTCTCGCATTCCAACAGGAATTTATTAAACATTTTGGTTTTTAAAAACCACCAAAGACCATTTTTTAAATGTCTGCTTTTTACTGTCTTTATGTTCTTAAAATAGGAAATACTATTATGATGATAGTGTATTTCAACTGCTAATTGGTACATGGTATGATGCAATACACATTTTCAAGCTGAATGCAATTTTAAAACACTGGAACATCTGATTCAATAAGAAACATTAAAAGACACATTTCCATTAGAGTTTTTTTTTCTGAAATTTGAGTAATTCTTGGGGAACATTTCAATGCAAATGAAATGCGTGCTTTTTAGAGGGAAAAATATTCTCAGAAAGCGTGCAGCCAGTTCTGCTTGTTGAGCTTCATTAGCTTTACACCAGCCTTGCTATTCATGGCACAATCTCACTGAGTCCAGGGCAGGCCAGGGAAGCCAGGAAGACAGGGAAGGTGTCCCACCAGTCCCAGCAGCCCTGTGCTTGTGGCTCAGCTGCCAGCACCACATGTGCCCCATCACTCCCTACCTAAGCAGACTGCTGAACATTTTAGAAAAACCTCATTCCCCTACCTTGGTGAAGGTCAGGCAATCCTTGTCTTGATCTTTATCCTTTATTTCAAAGTCGTAAAGTGCTTTGCCCTGAGGTGGAGCCTGTGGGAGGGGCTTGATGCACTGGATGTAGCTGGCGGGGAAGAAGCCGTGGTTGCCATTGAGCTCCCCGTGGTACCAGTTCTCGTCCACCTTGCGCCGCAGGATGATGATGTCCCCCTTGTTAAACTTGAGGTCACCAGGCTCCTTTCCCTCATATGTGTACAGGGCTTTGCCATAGGGAAGCTGAGAAACACTCTGGGGAAACAAAACAAACGGCTTTAAGCAATCTCCAGCCAGCACCAATATCATTCCTAGAGTCACTGTTTAGCTGGAAGCAAACTGAGCAGCCATGGTCATTTACCAAATGACCCCAATGACTGCAGCAGACTGCGCCATAATGCCGTACTCTGGATCCCAGGAAAACTAGGATGCAGGTGATGACAAGCCTGAGAAGGTAGGTGTGTTACATCAGAGCAGGCACTGTCCATCTCACGTAGCTCAGCTGCAGTACCTCTTACACCACCAAGCAGCATTGCTTAATTTGCAAAATATCCTATGTAAGCAGAACTATATGTTTAAACAACTAAACTTGGACATGTCTAAAGGCAAAATATTAGACATGCTGACCTTCAGAGTTGCTTTGGTTTCTGAAGCTCAGAAGAGAGACAAAACAATACATGCTTGATGATTCACAGGGTTATAAAAGCTGGCAAATTGGTAATTTTTCATTGCATTTGTTTGAGCATTTCCAAACATTTTTGAGTTTGAAGCCTTTTGTTTAGCTTTTTATTATGTAACCAAATACTCTTATTTCTTTCAAAATCCCTAAGTCTCATGCTACTCACTGAGGGCTACTGTAAAACAGTTGTAATATTCTTTGTTGGCTACGAATTAATGTCCTTGTGGAAAAGTGGAATAGGCAGAATGCCCCAAATCTTTCTTTTAGAACTAAAAAGAGCTCTGAAGCTTTCACTGTCATTAAAAAAATTAAACAAACATACTAAAAAATCGGGGCCTATGAGAAAAAAAAGCCTAAGAAGTTCATTGTTTGGTATGATAAAAGAGTGAAACCTATTTGATGGAAGCCACTTGAGTGTGAAGAATTCTTCCCAGAGTTCATTTTGTCCCAGTGAAAGGTAGATTATCTCACCCAGGCTGAGACTGCATGAACAATGTTTTGGTGGAAGTACTGGTTTATGCAGTCCTCCCCATCTACTTGCTCCTCTTCTTGCTGAGTCCCACAGAGCAGGGGGTAACTGTGTTGGACACAGCCTCCTGCTGCTTTGGACCTGTCACAGTTCTTTAACCCATACTGGAGTGCAAAAGGTGTATTGCTGTATTATCCTATACCATTTTTCATTTTATTCAATTTGAACTAAGAGTCAGCTTGCAAATATATAGCAGCACATAACACAAGGGATGTTAGAGGGGTCCTTAAAAATCAACCTTCTGTAAGAAGGTTTTTGGGTTTTTTGGTTTTGTTCAGAGTTGTATTTACAAAAATGACACGGTTTTCTTTGCATACACATGCCTTTGAGTAGTCTGTTCCCTGCTGTGCATCATGCTTGTCAATGGGGTGTCCTATAGGGACAATGAAAAGGTAAAGCTATATTTAATAAAACACCCTGGTATTCACCCAGGTGTTTCTAATGCCTGTACTTCTGGATGACATTCCTGTGCCTAAAATAACACTCAGATGCTTTCCCCAGAGGATAGGTGGAGTGGCCTGACAGAAACACTGCACTTCCAGAAAATGAGATGCTGGGATGACTTTTCATGGTATTTGTTAAAACCACAAGCAGAGGCATTTTTCAATTCCGATGGGTGCATTAAACGGACCTGCTCTGGTGGGGTGGGTTTAATGCTCTTCCACCTGCATCTTTCGGCAGGAGGAGGAGAAGCAGAGCCCTGCCTGCACTGCCTGCACTGCCTGCACTGCCTCCGCTGCTCCTGGGCGCCAGATGGCCACTGCGGCAGGCACACACCATCAACAGATCAAAGAGCAACTTTCTTCAATGCACCTTCACACACAGGCGTTAACTTACTCATTTTTATTAGGAAAGGCTTTGGTAGCTGTGCAGGTCTTGGAATGTTGTGTGACCACACTGAAGGAGACAGGCAAAGAGGCACAGCTCTTCAGAGCAAGATTCATGTTGTCTGGAGGGGGATTTAATTTCTTTCAGATGTGTCCCCAGTTCTAACTTTTCTCATTAGCAATTTGCAGTTCCTCTGCAAATCCTCTGTATTCTTCTGGATTTTGCTGTATCTGAATGGGGCTACCCACTTAAAGACCAGTTGTTCTGGAAGCTCCTTCAAACATAACTAAAAAAGCATATAATCAACAGCCAGCTAACAAAGCATCAAACAGTCTCTGCCAAATCAGTGGCAGCATCCTACTGATAGTTTTCTCTCTACCAGGATGTTTATTTCCCTTGAAAGCAAAGTGTTGCCCCCCTACACAGCATTTTAAAGATTAAGCATACAATACCATCAAACTCCTTAGGTAAGGCATAGATTGCATTACTCATTTGAAACTAGGAAAAAAACCCCACACTAAGCTGAAAGACTGCAGAGCCTTGTAGTAATTTAGAAATAAAAGAACCATTACTTTAATTCATGCTGGAAGAAGACAATTTATCAAAGGAAAAGTAAGACTTCTGCCAGGTGCACACTGCTGATCCAGAAACATGCCTGGCAAACACGCTCTGTATCACTCACCCTAGATGGGACTTTCCTGTTCCCAAAATCTTTGTAGCAATTCAAGGTCAGATCACTTCCTTTACTCTTTAGCCACTTTCTCTTCCCAAGCCTCATTTTACTGTGTAAAAAGGCAACACAGTAGCCCCCAGTGCTACAGAAAACAAAGGGGATTTTACTTTATTGCACACTTCATCAATGAAATTCTTATGCAATACCTGTTGGGCTTTTATTGATAATTAATTGGTCTGGCTAGAAGATGATTCAGGTCCCTGTTTTTAACTTCACCTAATGTAAATGAAGACTTTTAAGAAAAACAAATCAACTGCCAGATGTAAATTTGAAATCTGGCATTGTTTTATTTGGAGACCCTAATGTGGGAATTTGTGGTTTAGGTGCTTGTGTTCCTCTTCTCTTTCATGGGCTTATCTGTGGGCCATCTAGGAGCTTCCTACACAGAGAAGATCTGGGCAACTGACAGTGGGAAGGACTTCCAAAATCACCTGTTCCAATTATCAGTTACTTCCAAAAACAAGCTGCTCCAATTGTTCAGAATTTCTAATTCTGAATCACACCTTTTCAACTAAAAGCTCTGTAGAGGCATTTTTTAAGGTGAGCATGTTATTTAGTGGAAAAGATACCCACTGACATTGAGACATTTCCCAGCCTTTCTGTAAGGCTCTATGTTCCCATTTTGATTTGAGTGTCCCATGTAAACCTTGCATTTACTGTGGCCCAGGTACCAGTGTCCTCTAATCCTTTTCAAATAAAGCTACTTGCTCTGTTCTAAAGCTTTAAGTATCTGCTCAAATCAACCAAAGAGAAAAATTTAGTATCACAATTACAATTAAAAAACTCAAACAAAACAAAACACAAAAAACCCAAAGTACCCCCAAACAACAAACCAACCAACCAACCAGCCAACCAACCCTAAGCACTTAAGATAAACTCTTGAAGCTCCTTTGATTATATATTCTGGCCAAAAGATCTAGCTTTCAGTGGACCTTTCATGGTCACGTTATATTAATGGTTCCTAAGAAGGCTATTTTTGGAAGTTCCCTTTATTATTCCTATTTTTGGTTAATTCATAAGTGAGAAGCAGATCAGATTCAGAAATTTCCTCTGAGCTACATCTGAAAGGAGGGAGCATGAAGCATCTTTTAGAAATAGAATACAAACAATCTCTGCTGCTGTTTGCTAGTTGTAATGCGGTTCTTAGAAATCTTCCTCTGATCTTGATTATCTTCCTCACTGACAATCTTTGTGCAGACAATTGTGGCCTATCCACTCCCTCTTCTTCACTTGACTTTCCCAACTCAAAGGAAAAGAGGTTGGCCAGGACTGATATCTGACTGACATTCAAACTCCCAAAGCCCTGCTGGTGAGCATGGCCTTCCCATTTTATGTTCAAAACCTCAGCTCATGCCCTGTCCTATTTCACCTCAGGTCTTTGTTCCATGCAGCAGCATTTCAGTCAGAAATCATCACCTTCAGAATGTCCATGCGGTCTTTCCTACAAAACCTTCTAATCTAAACCAGGATATAAAGTATCATCCCACAGATCAGACTTAAGCAAAGCAGAGACAGGCAAGGTTCAGTGAGACAAAGCACATAGAGGTGTTCCTCCAGCAACAGCAGGAGGCTCACACCTTCCTCTTGCTCCCTGCTTCAGCAGAGCAAAACCTCCTTACCCTTCCTGTGCCCATTCCATGCAGGAGCATTGCCACAGCAAGAGCTGGTGGACAACACTGAGCCTCTGCACTGCTCCCTTGGCACGCACTTCATCCCCTGCTCCACCACACAAGTCCCTGCTCATCCATGGGGCTCCATCCTGGCATCGCCTGCCTCACTGTGTCCATGGAGAGGAGCTCCCTTTCCAAGCCTGGCCCCAGCAGCATCGTGCTGCTCCTCTGCCCTCTGGCCACTCAGCCTCTCAATGGCCACTCCTGCATCCAGGCACCAGTGTGGTGGCAGCCTGGCTGTCCCGTGAGGAGCTCAGCAGAGGCCACCACCCCAGTGCCTTCCCCCAAGTCAGCTCCTGACCTGTGCTCCACCGTGAGGAACCCCTGCCACCAACCCCCTCCCCAGCTGCCATGAAATCTGGTCAGGCTCAACACAGGTGGCTGCAAAATTAAACAGCCTCGACATCTGAGTGCATCAAGGAGTTGATTTGCCTGCTGGTTTATTGTGAGGCTAACTGGCTCTTGGCTATGATGTGTATTAAATTTCAAAACTCTGTGTGGGTGTGTATAGAAATAAAAAAAATTAAGAAAGGAAGAAAGGAAGGGATGAAGTCACAGTCAATGGCAACAGCCAGTTTCTTTTTCCTGCCACTAAATCCATGCTGGCACGATGCTGAATACTGCCAAAGGTTTCTTTTCTATTTCAGCAATCAATACTGACATGAAAGCCTGAAGCGTTAATATGCTGAAAATCCCCCTTGCAGAAGACTCAATGATATGTTGGCGACTCAATCATTCTGCATTTGTGTTTCAGCAATGTCAAATAGCAGCAGTTAAGCAGAAACCTGCTGGCAAATTGACAAATAACAGCCATGAAGCAATTAACTGGCAAAGCTGGAGCATTCTTCATTATGTATCCTGAAGAACAAAAGGAATGGGAAAAAACCCAAACATGCTTGCTTCCAATAAATTCTCCCAGTAGAAAGCTTAGTAGAATGCGAGCTGCCCAGATAGAGT